TGCATTATGGTGTTAAGTGCAGGACTGAGATTGGTATGAAAGGGCTGCTTCACAGCTTTTTTCTCACTTAAGGCATTAAAAGAAAACAGAAAGTATAAAAGGACTTAATGTGCTAATAGATATACGCACGCACGCACACCAACATAGATGCATGCATACTGGGGGGGCCTGAATACCGGGGTCTCCTTCTAACAGGGCGGGCCTCATGACAGATGTAACCTAAGACAAATGGAGACTGTTCTAAGGATGGGAAGAAGCACTGAGGGACTCTGAGCCGGTGAGATAAAATTTTATGATGTGAAAGGAAGAAGTCCAGGGAAGAACAGGCCCCAAGAGAACCCACCGCAGCCCTCCCCCATCCACCCCACCTCGTCGTAGCCAAGGCAGGGAAGAGAAACCCACCAGGGCTGAGAGACAACCACGCTGTGCCTCTTGGGCAGGGCAAAGTCACCCCACTACCCGCAAGCTCAAAGCAAAACACGGCCCGTTCCCTCTTCTACCTGTCCACATCTCTGAATTTGGTGGGGAAAAGAGAAGAGCTATTTCTCAACACAGAGCATTTTCGTGTGATTTTGTTATGTTCTTGTATAAAACCGCGAGTGCAGGGCAGGGATACTGGGCAGAGTCGCAGGCTGCACACCTAGAAACACAGATTTGGCTCAAGACTCCAAGGGCCTCTCCAACACGGAGCCGGAAGAGCGCAGCTTGAACCAGGAGCCACACACGGTACCATCCACCCTCCAGCTTGGGAATCCTTATGAAGACCCGCGGCAGCAGTGACTGAGTTCACCCCAAAAGCACTCCCATAAAAGCCCTCGCTTTCCTCTCTTCTCTGCTCAAGGTGTGGGGCTGCACTTCAGAGTCTGGAAAATGCCTGCCTCTCTTCTCCAGGTGCTGGGAGGGAGTACCTGGCCAGGGACATGCTGCTCATCCAGAAGGGGCAGAGGAAGGGCTGAAAACTTGGCCTGAGAATCTTCAAGGGGTCCTTGCATGGCACCCAGAAGCCCTTTCTTCACCAAGATCCCTGGCACTATGTGGAAAGGATGAAACATGAGAGTCCTACATTCTTCACTCAACTCTCTACCCTGAGGTCTTCATGCATTTGCAGTAATGCAGACTTTCAACTATGGCTGCTCCTTGCGCCCCAAGGAACATCTCAGTTCAGAAGAACTTGGCACGCTCTTCCACCTGGCTGCTGTCATCTGGGTAAAGCTGGTTTATCTTCCGGTACTTTCCCTTCCCTTTCATCTTGAAGATGGCAGAGCAGGTACAATATTTGTGGGTTTCACAAGCTTAGTAAAGCCCCCCCCCAATCTGTGACTGCTTTGGCGCCTCTGAGCAGAGTAAGGCATTGTTAAGCAGGACAGGAATGGCACCTCTTAACCATTCCCCGTGGCATGAAAAAAAAAATCCATTCAAATTTATTAATTTTTCAAGGGAAAAAATGCTCAGGGCAGCTTTTCCTTTTAAATTCTCCTTCATTTCCCCCAAACCTTTCATTCTTTCAATGGATCTTCTTCATGCCCTCTAATATTTTTCTAGGCATCTGAACAGAGCTTTCAGTGAACGCATCAGGTAGGAGCCAGAAACATACTTTACCAACAATATGTGCCAATCAAGCCACCGACCTCGCTCTTCCCCATCAGTACTAGCTCCTTGGAGGAGCCAACCACAAACCCAATCAGGTACCCGAGAAGCAACACGTGACAGTATCCCTCAACGTGCCCCAGTCTCCTCACCTACAAAATAAGGAGGTTCGGTCTTAAAAATCCCTTCCTGCTCTAGAATTCTGTGATCTTAAAATTTATGCAGAAAGGATGAAACATGAGAGTCCTACATTCCCCACTCAACTCTGTATCCTGAGGTCTTCACGCTTTCCCAGGACCTGTCGGGTGCAGTTCAGTTTGGCCACCTTGCCACTCCCCAAGACGCACTTGAATAATTACACAGTGAGGCCTCCGCCCTGGCTGCAGAAAGCCCTAATCTCAGGTCTCTTTGTTCCAAAGACCAAAAGGTGAATTTTCTCTTTGGAAGGTCATGCACAATTCCATATCAATCAGGATGGCTGACCTTTATGTCTTTTTTTTTTTTTTTTAATCTCATGTACCTTCTTTCTTTCTCATATTAAGAAAAAAAAATCATCTCTTATCTTTACTTTTAAGAATATTAAAATGAGGCTCAGTGCCGAATCTCCAAGGCCCCAAAGCAACTCTATCCACGGAGGTATCTGGGCCAGAAACCTGGGAGCTAGTCTCAACATTTCCATCTCCCTGGCCCCATGGTGACCAAGAACTGCTGATCTGGCTCCTAAATGTATCTTAAATGTCCATCCCCATTGCCTTCAGCTCCCCCAACTCCCACTGCCTTGCCCTGGGGAGGAGGGGCCTCTGCATGTTCTCCACCAACCCACCTCCTGCCCCATCCATTTCCTAAGCCACAGTAACCTGTATAAGATGCGCACAGTGTTACATCACTCCTCGTGTCAGACTTCCCCGGGGTCCCCACTGCTTCCAGGAGGTTGTTCCAAATCCTTCAGAATTCTTAACAAAACATCTGATGCCTGACTTTCTCGTGTTCCCATAGCTGAGCTCCTTCCCGCATCTGGCTCTCAACTTGCTTTTCCCTTGTCCGGCACAGTCCTTTCCAGGGCTCCTTCCTCCACAGCACACACGTGCTTGCTCCCTTTTGCCTGCCTATTCCAGCCACTCTTGAAGCTGCAGTTCGAATGCCGTTGCCTCTGTGAAGCTCCCCTGGCCACCTACGGCAAGTCCCTCAGGTACACCTGCTCTGCGCACCTGGGTCTGTTTTAACCAGTGACATTTTTTTTAATAATTTTTTATTGGTTCTTTTTAGTTCCACATGATAGTAGAGTCCATTTTTATATAAATACATAGCATGGAATATATGTTATTCCAATTAGGACCCCAGTCTTTTGGATATATGTGACGGTGAGATTCACTGTGGTGTATTCATATAGGTACACAGGAAAGTCATGACAGAGTCATTCCACTGGCTTTCCTTTTCCTCTCCTGCTTCCCTTCCCTCATTCCCCTTTGTCTAAGCCACCGAACTTGTATCTCCTGCCTCTTATTGTGGATTAGCTTCCACATATCAGAAAACATTCGACCTTTGGTTTTGGGAGATTGGCTTATTTTACTTAGCATAATAGTCTCAAGACCCATCCACTTGCCAGCAAATTCGATAAAGTCATTCTTCTTTATTAACCAATGACTTTTTACCATCTACCTTCCTCCCAAAAAACTCCGTACAGGGCAAGGGGCAAATCTCTGTGATGGTTCTTGTACCCAAGTCACCAGACAAGAGTTTCAGAGCATTACAGATTCTACTTGACCAAAAGAATGAAAATGTGGGAAGAAAAAGGAAGAGAAAAGAGACATACAAACTATTTATGTGCAGCCTAGCCACACATCTGCCCCCTTTCTTATTTTTTTTTTTGAAAAAGGGTCTCACTATGTCGCCCAGGCTGGCCTCAAACTCACCAACCTCCCTCCTCAGCCTCTGGTGTAGCACACTCCAGCTCCCCACTCCTGCCCATTCTTGATGGTACAGAAACAGGAGGAGAGAGAAGAAAAATGAGGAAAGTTAAAATAAGAGGATGAAGATAGGAATAGTGAGAAAAGAAGTGAAAGGATCACCCCATGATTCTTTGGGACACCTTCAAAAAAAAAGCACAAGGACTTTGGTGTTTTAGAAAAGTTGGCACACGACCTTTCTTCCATCTATTCTTATCTTTAGAATGCCCCAAGTGGAGAAGGTATTCCAGAAAGGAGGACAATATGGGGAATTGAGGTGGCCGAGGAAAACACTTTTGTTTGAGGACAAGGCACTGAGCATCCATGAACTTGGGTGAAATTTCTTGTCCACAAAGAGATAAAACAAAGTGACCTCTGGAGGTGCCCTCTGGGGCCTTTGTAGAACATGGAAGCCCCAGTGCCCATGGCACCCGCTTACCGCTGCCTCTACCTCCATCTTAACCAAACCGTAGGATGTTTCAGTGCACTGAAGGTCAAATGAAGGTCACTGACGTTTCCCTCACTACACGGGTTTCAACCACCTAAATCTGAGTCCCTTGAAGCCCACCATGAAAATGCCACCTGCACTGAGAAAGCCACTCACAATCCAAGTTCCTCACTGGAAACAAGGGCCAAAGGTAGGGCTCTCTTGAAGTCCATAACTAAGAATGAGTGACTAAACTGATCTGGCAAAAGCAAATCAGAGCAGAAATGCTTACCCACCCAGGCCTTCTTTGCAACCTTTTTTTTCAGTTAAAATAATGTTTTTCACGTAACACCCAAGTTCCCCTCCACCCAATATATTTCAGACACTGGCATTCCATGTCTCCTCCTGCTCAATCTCTCTAGCTGATCTCCTTTTTCTTTCTTCCTTCCTTCCTTCCTTTCTTTCTTTCTTTTGTACAATTAGATACAACAGAGTTATTCAGTAGAGAAAAGCAGAATCGGGACACAAATAAATGTAACGGTTTGGCAGCTCTAGGATCATTGTTCAGTGAAACAGATACAAAGTCATTTCCACAACCGTGGTACTTACAACAATACTGAATGGAAGGGTACGAGGACTCTTGTGAAGCAATCAGGAGCAGTTTGTTACATTGGCCAACACCAGGGACGGCCCCATCTGTTTAAAAACCTTTAGAAATAAACTGAAGGGTGACTTATGTTCATTGTAAACTCCGTCAGTGCGGCCTGTGCTATAAATTTGGTGGATTTAGTCAGCGTGGCTGCCCAGAGTGGAGGAGCACAGCTAATAATTCTCCTCCAAGGACTTCTCTGAGAAGTAGTCCAGGGCTCACAAGGACTATCAATCTGTTCATTAGCACAAGTCAAAGTTACATGAGACTAATTGAGAGCGGTCTTCTCATTAATAGTCTGTGACAAAACAACAGCTGTACAGTCATTAAAAAGGAAAATAAAGCCCAGAAATTCACATTAACATCAAATAATGGTTTGCAGGCTACTTACATCAGTGTCGGGTCCCTTGTCTGCACCCGGGCATGAAAAAGTAACAAACTCATGGCACCTCTTGTGTACCACAAAACAGCAAACTGAGAGAGAGAAAAGAAAACGAAAATTAATATATGGGCTTTGTTCTCCAAACAGGGCTACTTACTGTTAGAAGTTGTTTTCATTTCAATGTAAATAAAATCTTATAAACACTCATCAGAAGGCACTTCACCTTCATAAGCAACATTTTGTATTGATTGGACTCACTGATGACACAGTCACAAAATGCCAGAGCTGACAGGAGCCCAGGAGACCTATGCTGTGGTTCCCAGCCCCTAAAGTTGAGGGAGAGGGGAGCTAGAGATTACAAGACAGTTTTCCAAGGTACAAACCAGAATCAAAACTTAAAGCACCTTGCAACATCCCCTACCAATACATACATGCACTCACAGACGTCTGTGCATATACATGAGCAGACACATGTATGTAAACATTATACCCTGTGGGTGAAAATAATGCAAATATAAAAAAAGAATAACTGATTATAAATAACTCCTGAGCATCCCTTAGTGTGGTTTGCAAGACATCCTCAGTGAAATCTAAACTTAAGGGACTCATCAAGGCACAACCCAATCTCCAGAAAACAGCCCTCTGAAATGGGAGAAGTTGGGGTGCACTGAACAACTTCTGTTTGCCTGTGCTGACATGAGTTGAAGGAGTCCCTGCAAATCTAGCAAAATCTATTACACAGCAAGTATTTTCCAGGCTCCACATGGTTTTGATACCTACTCCTGGAGATGTACCAATAAAATAATCTGTTAGAGAACTTAGTAAGCAATCCCCTAGAGGTTTTCAGGGATGATGTAATGTGGGGGAATATAAGCAATATCTGGTCCTTCAAAGCCTGAAGTCTAGCTTCAAAGGGCAGCCTCCATTACTGTTGGTCATCATTGAATAATAAAAAGGTTCTAACAATATACTCTCAGAGTGTTGGGGAAGTTGCAAGCTGTGGTTTGAATGTTTGTTTCTTCCAAAACTCACAATGAAATTTGGTTGGACTGGAGTGGTGTTGGGAGGTGGGACCTTGGAGAGGTGGTTGGGCCATGAGGGTTTGGCCCTCATGAGTAGGACTAATGCCATTTCAAAAAAGCAAGTTCAGCCCCCTCTGCTGCTTCTATCATGTGAGTATAAGGTGTGCCCTCCACCTGGAGGAGGCAGCAAGAACACCCTTGCCAAATTTTAGCACCTGACTTTGGACTTCCTAGCCTCCTGAAGAGTGAGAAAATAAACTTCAGTTCTTTATAAATGACCAGTCTCAAGTATTCTGTTATAGCAACAGAATGCAACTAAGACACTGCACAAAGAAAGCTAGAACTCCTCTAATTCTCAGTTCGTGTGCTATTTTCTTCTCTCACCAATGATAATGCAACTCCCTGCACATATGTTAGTACATGAAGGAGATCAAAGAGGGTGAGCCATTTCAGTGGGTGGGAAAGGACAGCAGGTTTGCTGAGCGCTGAACTCCCAACAGGAGATCAAGTACTGAGAGAGTACTGAGAGGACCATGAGTGGTCAGAAAGAAATTCAGAATATTTTTGATGAGCCTTGGAAGTCACCGAGAGGTTTTACACTGAAAATAACACAGACAAAAGCAATATCTAAGATATGCAAATGGTAGCAACAGGAAGAATTTAATAGTATAGATTTGTGGCCATAAGACCCAGTTACAAGTCTTTTGCATAGCAGAGGTATGGAAGTAATTGTCCAACACTATTCAGGATGCCAAGATACGGACACAACAGATGCCAGAGAAATTTCAGAAGAATTTTAGGACTTGCCGATTAACCACTAAATATCCTATTTCATGTGAGCACACACATACATATGTACACACATATGCACATTCCTATACAAACCCAGAGGATGAAGAGATGGGGTTTCCCTATAAGAGAAGAAGAATCAGGGGTGATTGTTGGGTGGGAGCCATCCCAGAAAACTTAATGAATGAAAAGATCTCATATAGGAGCAACCTTTTAGAGGTGGAACTGCCCAGGAGAGGGGTTATCTTGAGCTGCTACACACCATCTACCACGCCCAATACACCTGCCCACCCTTGTGCACGGCCAGAGGCTGGAGGAGGTTGGAGAGAAGCAGAAGAAAGGGCCCCCTGGCTGTCTGGGCAGCACTGAGCCAATCAAAGGGCAGCACTGAGCTCCTGGGAGTCCTCAGAGGAGCGTCCTTTCCACTGTGTTCTGCTAAAAGCATCTTGATTGCAAAATCCTCCAAGGATAGATAATAAAGCAGGGCTTCGAAGGCGCAAATTAATCTGATCTGCTCACAGCCCCCAGGCACAGAATCACTTCTCGTTCACTGGAATCAGAAAGATCAATTACGAACAGAAGAGGTTAGAGCAGCATTATTCCTGATCATGGTTTATTCTGGAGACGGTGTTTGGAGAGGAAAATCAGCCTTCCGATTTCCCACTTAATTGTTTAAACACCCAGGTCTTTCATCCTTTTTATTTTTTTTAAGTCCTCTCCATATTCGGATGAACAGTGTTCAGAAAACCCATATTTGTCAAACCCCTTTGGAAAGACGTCTTGTCTTCTGCATCTGTCATTGCTATCTGCATCTACACATCAACACAGTGACACAGCTCCACCTGGAAGTATTGCTATTGCACACCTAATAAAACATGTCTCATTTCAAAGTTTTTCCTGAGAAGAACCAGGCCATTACTGCCCAGTAAAACTTACAGGGAAGCAAAAAAAACCCACCCACCCCCAAATTACATCCCTGCAGCCTGCCTTAGGGGCTCCCTCCTCCTCTTCTATGCACAGAAGCTTCCCATTTCAATGAACAGATTCTACCAACAGGAGGCAGACAGGAGGGAGAAGGGTCTTGTGTTTCCAAAGAGTCACACTCACAGATGGGGGTTATCTGAGGACAAAGACCCTATAGGCCTGTTTGAAAATTCAAGATTCATGAAAGATGACCTCCAAAGGACAAGGAAATAGAATCTGCCCAACCTGGATGACCAGGGAGAGAAAGCCCGGTTGTACCTTACCTTTAACCCCACCCCCGTCCCCCATGGAAAAGATGGAGAAGAGGACCTTGTAGTTGGGCTGACTCTGGCTGAATATAGCATTTATCTGGGAAGGTCTGCCCCAGAACACCCAGCCATGACCAGAGATTCCAAAATGGCTGGTCTTGACCTCTGGTTTCAAGTTGCAAACTAAACTGGGTAATTCACATGCTATAAGACAATATAATCAAACAAGACATTTGAAAAGTCTTGCTAGTGACATTGAAAGAAGAGGAATAGATTGGGACAATAAAATAAGAATTCACTGGACTTACCTGGAGATGGCCAGTATAGGTCTTTCCCTGGCTAAAAAATCGGGAGTTATTATCTTTCATATTTTAAAATCTAAAGGAGGGGATGGGGTTGTGGCTCAGCGGTAGAGCACTCGCCTAGCATGTGCAAGGCCCTGGGTTTGATCCTCAGCACCACATAAAAATAAATAAATAAAATAAAGGTATTGTGTCCAACTACAACTAAAAAAAAAATAAATAAATAAAGGAATTTATCTTACCATGTTAATGTGGAGTAAGGGGAATTGGGGACAAGGGGAAATAAGGTGGTACCTGTCTCATGGTACACCTTCAATAATACCTGCCTGACCTGGACAGCCAGGAAGACAAACTGGTAGCCCCTGAGCTGGGAGGAAGTGGAGACACAAATCAAGGCAGATTCTTTCTGCATCATGGTTTTTCAGGGGTCCAAACTCTTGGTCCTTAAACAAATCTGTGCTTAAGAAGCCACAGGCTGCCCAGAAAGTCTGAGTTGGAGCCTCATTTCAAAGACTATGGGTCACCTGCGTCTGTGAAGCCAAATGAGAGGATGGAAAACAGGAATCCAACCGTGTCATAAAGACACAAAGTCAATCTTCACGCCATTAACTGCTAAGCACAAAATCACTTTCCTCTAATCCTCTGCACGACACGCTTACTCTGCCTCCCAGACATGGATGACTGGATAACGCACATAATGTGGAGAGAACAGCGCAGTGGGACAAAGAGTGACAGAGACCACAGGCTCCGCCAAGTACATTCCTTAACACACCCTGACTGTGGAGTTGAGAATGCTCAACTGTGTCAAAAGCCATCATCGTGCAGGTGACTACCTGAGGGCTCTTGATCCTAGACAATGTCTCCTAGAAAGATCCTGAGAAAACGTACATCCAGAAGCCTTTCCATACCCCATCCATGCATAAAGGTTTGACCAAAAAAAAAAATATATATATATATATATACACACACACACACACATACATACAGTGAACTGACACTACGGATAAGGAAGGGGCTGTAGCAGAGTACGTGCTGTCAGTCAACTCCCCTTCAGAAGTGCCACCCGCCAGCACCGATCACCCACAAATCAGTAAGTACAGCAAGGGTTCTAACCCAAGGGGAAAGTTCAGCTAACAGTAATCAGTCACCACTATATGCCCACTAGGATGGCTATTGTTTTCTTTTAAAAAGAGGAAGAAAAGAAAAGGTGAAAGGAAAACTGTTGGCAAGGATGCAGAGAAATTGGAACCCACATCCGTGGCTGGTGGGAATGTGAAATGGTACAGCTTCTTGAACAGTCTGGAGGTTTGCTAAAAAATTAAACATGGGATTCTCATATGATCCAGCAATTTCACTTCCAAAGAGAAAAGAATTGAAAGCCGGTACTTAAAACAGATATTTGTACACCAAGTTTCATAGAAGCATCATTCTCAATAGGTAAGAGATGGGAACAACTCAAGTGTCCTTTAACAAATGAATGGACAAATGGAAGGTATTATGTACATGCAAAGAGCAAAATCCTGACATGTGCAAGAAAAGGATGAATCTGAATACATGGTAAGAGAAAGAATCCAGAGAAGAAAGAAACAAATGTGCATGATCCCACTCATGTGTGGCCGCTACAACAAGTTCATAGAGTAGAACAGGAGTTCCCAGGGATGGGGCCAGGAAAGGAATTGGGAGTTGGTGATCAGTGGGTTCAGTTTCTATTTGAAATGATTAAAAAATAAAACTTCTGGAAATGGAT